ACGGTGCACGACAAGCGGGACAAGATGCTGCGGATGCGGGTGATGGACAGCAAGTTCGCGGGGCAGGCCAAGAACGTCAAGCGGGCCTTCCTCTGGTGCGAGGAGAACGTCGCGCCGGTCACGCTCGTCAAGGTCGTCAAGGCGCAGGCCTTCGCCAAGCGCTTCCTCGCCCGACGACGTACGTTGTGTGCGTGCGTGCGTGCGTGCGTGTTCCTTTCTTTGTGCAATTTCTTTATACATTCGTAGATTTTAACTCCTATTAAACTAAATGTGCGTTTTCAGTGCGCAAGCGTTTGCAGATTGCGAACGAGCTGTTGGTGACCGAGAAGCACTACGTCGACATCCTCGATCTCCTCGTCAAGGTACGTGCACTGCCAACAGCACAGCCCCCACCTTCCCTGCACCGTGCTCGTTGTGTTTTAACTCCGACACACGTCCGCCACACTTCATCGCCACTTCATCAGGTGTTCCTCCAGCCTCTGCGCGAAGGCGACCTTCTGCCGCCGGAGAGCATCCTCGCCATCTTCGGCAACACCGAGACGCTTCGGTACCCCTTCTCCGGTCGTCGCATCATGGCTCGTCATAGGATGGGGCGGCTCACACGGCCTGCTGGCAGGGACAAGCACGTTCTCTTCCACGAGCTCTTGCACAAGCGAGTGCGCGATTGGATGACCTTCCAACAGTTTGGCGTGGGCGACATCTTCTACGACCACGTACGTGTCGAAGCTCCCTCTCCGCCTGCCGGTGGTTCGACGAGGAGGAGCTGACACCATTGATCTATGGTGTACGGCGCGCAGACGGACTTCCTGCTGGGCTATACCGAGTATGTAAACAACTTTGACAAGGCGCTGGCGATGCTGACGCGGTGCACCAAGAGCTCCCCCGAGTTCGCCCTCTTCGTGCGCAATTGCGAGGCTCGGCCAGGTGCCCCTACACGCGTGTGCATTGCTTCGTGCCGTTTGTTGTGTGCTGGTGTGCCGTGCGTGCGTCCGTGTCGTGCTGATGCTGTTTGTCTTTCACACAGAGTGCAATCTGCATGACCTGCCGTCGCTTTTGATTACGCCCGTGCAACGCATCCCGCGCTACACTCTACTCCTACAGGATCTCCAGCGCCACACGCCCTCCGGATCACGGTGCGCACCAGCCATTCCCTTCATCATCTGTGTCGACACAGGGCGTGTGCTCACTTCGTCCTCCCATATACAATGCAGCCCCGGTCTGTTGGAGATGGCCTTGAAGAAGGTGAAGGACATCGCCAACTACATCAACGAACAGAAACGAGCCAAGTACGGATCGCCCTTTTCGCATCAGCAACGCTTGATGGTACATGTGGTGACCCGACCCCCTCGTTGTGTCGCATAGCGAGAATGAGCTGAAGATGGCCGACCTGGACTCACGGCTGGTGTTCGACCCGAAACCCAAAATCGTACCTACCGCCCGTCTCTCTTTCCGCACACGCCAGCTGATCCCAACCCGACACCGCCAGGGTCTGTGCGAAGTCCCCGCCCGCAAGTTCATCAAAGAAGGCAAGGTGCTCATTCAACTCGGGCGCAAGCACTTCAAAGGTACCGCGCGTGCGGTCGTGTGTGTATGTGTGTGTGTGTGTGTGCCTACGAGGCAACGTGGACTTCCTGTTCCGTGTGCGCCAGGAGTGACGTTGGTGTTGGCTGGTGCGTGCAGAGTGCCACGTGTTCCTGTTCACGGACCTGTTGCTCATCACCAAGAACGAGGACCTCGACGACAACGACGAAGAGGCCGCCAAGGAGAAGGAGCCCGAGCCCAAGCGCAACGACGTCGCTGATGAGCGTCATCCATCGGGCAAGTTGCCCCGGTACCTGGTCAAGGCCGCCGAGCCCCTCAACGAGAACCCGATCGAGATCAGCCCCCTGCCGCCTTTCTTCCTCGACAAGGCCACACGCTTCCCGCTTCGCCTCTACTTTTCGTCGCAGCGGAAGGAGGTGTGTGCGCCCTTCGTCGCCATGCCACTCACAACATGTCTTGAGCGAGTGTTGTTGTGTGTGCTCACGTACTCTTTCTCACTCTCGACTTGTGCGTAGTATCGATGCGTGTTCGCAAGCCAG